AGCAGGAACCTACTTCTGAGAGGCAGACCATGGAATATAAATTGACTTATCTTATCCATCTGAGCCCCCTAACAAGCTATTTGAATTCTGAGGCAAGTACTGTGGCTGTCTTTGCCTCTGAAAAACATGCTAGAAGATTGGCTTCAAACTAGAAGCCCTGTAATATTTAGTAGTTAAATGCCATTACTAAATCAGTAACTACAGACCCTGCATTACCTAGCCACTGCAGCTTTATTGTTTCTAATGGAACAAGTTTGTGCAGTATTAACTCAGTTGGGGGGGTGGGGGGGGGGGGGGGGGGGGGGGAGTGGAAAGCATCACACTACTACGTTACCCTCCATCTATTTACTAATTAGCTAATTATATTAACATTTTAGTTTCAAAGTCACCAGGTACTAAGTGTTAAAGGTGACTGGCTTTTAAACCAGATTTAAAAAAAAAAAAAATTCACACTAATTTTGTAAAAATTGATAAAGAATAAAACTGAACAATACCTTTCTCCATTTCAGTCTCCTGCAAAGGCATCTGACTTCCCATTATTCTATGTATTTCAAGTTGGTGTCCAACATCATACACAGGTGGTCTTGCCTTGTCACCAGTTTCTTCTTCCCCAATTATCATGCAAGAACACACTTTTTTTTTTAAATTACTAACTAAATCTTCTTGCTTCTGCAATTGGAAATTGTATTAGGAATACCCAGTAGTAATGAATCCCTACTACATATAATTTCACATTTATGATGCGTTCCTCATTTAAGTGAGCCATCATCTATTAGTGCCATTTTTTGTTACTTTTTTTAAAGTTCATCCTATATAGCTACACACTTCATTATCATTTTTAAAACTGCTCATTGGCTATCCTTTTGCTTCATCTTTCTTTCTGCCAGCTTACAGAAATGCTTGTTTTTTCTAATCTGCAGCAGTATTACTACTGTGCTATTTTGTCAGTATTTTCAGTAAACATTGTTAGTCCTTAATATGGCAGAACTAAACAACACGGGGAAAAAAAACTATTCAAAGATGTGCCTAGTGGAAAGGAGTCTTGGATCCCATTTATGAAGTTCCTGCTTAACTGGAGGGATGGAAAAAAAGACAGCAAGAAGAAATTTTACTTTCTGGCTTATAGCTGTGGCAAAGAAATTGCAAGGAGCTTACTGGATAGTTAGATAAAGTTGCTCAAGCAGTGAGGGTTTTAAAGTTTAACAGCACGTTAATAATTATATTTATTGCCCAGTAATAATTATCCATTTGCCAAGAACTTTCACTAAGGGCATCTACTTCTGGCTGTTTAGATCAGATGCACTAAGAATACCTCCCAACTCTCTGCTTAAATCAAAGAAATATTTTATAACACCAGAAATGTGAAGTTCCATTTGCTTGTGGAGAGAGTAAATTTTAACTAGAGATGGCTACTGGCACATTCAGCTAACAGCCTTATGACAAGCAGTTCCTTCTTGAAGGGATGAGTGCAACTTGCCAGCAGCTGTATTTTTCCTGTTCCTGCACCACTCCTCACCTGATAAATGAGGCATTCTTAATAATTCTGGAACTTAGGGAAGTTCCACTGGACCACTCCCCAAAAAATAAAAACTTCTGCAAGGATGGGCAATGCACATTGCACAATAGGCATTTGTCATACAACAGAACACAAATAAGAAAAAGCTTACTGACAAACCATTGAGAGTTTTATGTAAGCATTGCAAAATTTTGCTTTTCCATTACTCCTCTAATAGACAAGCAAAGTATTTTTCAGGATGGAAATACTTGTAAAGCAAGTTTTTATTGTCATCAAGGAGAAACTGTATTCTGTCTAAGAATAACTTTCCTAGTCTGCAATGGGTAATTTGCCATCTCTATTATTAACTGTCATACAAATCTAAAATCAGGAGGGGAAGAGGAAATGAGTTTTCCTCACCATTTGAAGGTCATAAAGTAATAGAAGATAAAGCAGAGTTACATAGCTATCAGTAATAAAAACAAGGTGTTATGGCTTTTTCCAAACACACAGCACATAAGAGCATGGAAGGAAGATAAGATATCGGTTTAGCTATCACTTGCCAAAAAGAGCAGTTGATCAAGTAAAAATGGACCCCAGAAAAAAAAACCAACTTGTTGATAAAGCATTGTAATCAGTACAAACATTATACACTAAAACCCTTAGCAACAATAAGATATTAACTGTAGAATGCAATGACAATGGATGGAATTTCAAAGGATTAGACAATAGGTCTAATATTAATCAGAGATTTTACAACAGTGTAAAATTATATCAATATAAATAATCCAAGTTTACAGTGGGATGAGACCAAAATATGAACATGCTACAGCTGTAAATGCTCTGATTCAATGTGACGGCAATGGTATCCCCTTGACTGAGAGCCAGAACAATCCCCCTGTGGCTATTTATAGTTTATTTTATGCGTTACATTGTAACCCTTAGAGTGAAAGTTACAGCAGGAAAGAAAAAGGATACAATGTTTTGCTCTGCAATTTAAATATTTTGGTTAAAATCAATTCTCAGTTCTAAATATAAATATACAGAGATCAGCTCAGTGGCAGCTTTATGGGCATAGAGAGACAGTTTGGCAGGCAAACATTTCATCCTGTAAACCACCTAACCCATTCTTTTTAAGTTTGTAAAGACTAATATGGAGTTTCCCAGATTAAAATCAAGTTGGTGGCCTTACAACAGGGGTGGGGAAAATGGCGGATCTGGCTGGTGGCTGGACTCCATTTCCCAGCAGCCTCTGCCTGTGCAGCTCCTGGCTGGTCTACATGGAGACCCCAGTACGGGGGTTGCAGAACCAGGGCTCTGCCCTGGCCCCGCACTGTCACGGATCCACTGCTCCTGGGATCTTCAGAGAGACCAGTCAGGAGCCATGTTGGCAGGGCACTACTCTGCGGCCAGGCCAGGATCTTGGGGCAGCGACAGCACAGACACAATCCACTCCCTGCACGACCCTGTGCTCATCACAGGGGTGCGTGGGCAGTGCATTGTGGCTCTGCCCCGGCCCCGCGCTGTCACTACCCCAAGATCCCCCCGGCCCCGCCCTCTTGTCTAGCTCCTGCCCATAGCCCCAACCCAGCTGTACACTGTGCCTGCACGGGTCCCACCCCCAGCAGCTGGTGCAGGGCAGACGGGCCAGGGGCTGGGTCCAGTGGTGGCAGCCAGAAGGAACTGCCACCTCAGCGGAAAGTGAAGTCTGCCGTAGGCCCAACCCAGCCTGTGGGCTGGACTTTGCCCCTCCCTGCTTCACAGCATTCTAAGAAATCCATTCCCAAATTTTATCCCCAAAAAACTCACTCACATGCACAAAAAACAAAACATTAGATTAGTTAGCCAGATCAACAGGGATCTGGGTTTTCTCTTCACATTGGAAAAACCTGGATTTTCTCCTTTAAAAGGAGTAAAACGTGGGAAACGGTGGGTTTCCCCTTGCAGGCTGGCGGAGTTCCAGCATGTAAGAGGCCAGGGGAGCAGCAGGAGAGCGATCCAGGCAGGGGGCAACATGTGCGTGTGCGCATGTACACATGCACACGACCACCAGGCAGCCTGGACAGCAGCTCCTGCAGGTAAGATGGCAGGGGGAATTAAGGACCCCATAGTAAGGGACGGAGGGAGTTGGACAGGGCTGGGGCTGCTGCCTAGCCCAGATGATGGTTGGGGCCCACACCCATAATGCGCAGCTGCAGGGCCCAAGCAGGGAGCAGGATGGAGCCATGAACAGCTTGTCTGGGGGTCTGGTTCCCTGCCACTGCGTGCACTTCAGAGCAGGGGAGGGCACAGGGGCACATACTGCCCAGATCTGTGCGTGGAGCAGAGGCAGGCTACCCGCTGCAGGCTCGGACTCCCCACCCTGCTGCCCTGCCCTTGGGGCCTCCACAGCCCAGCGGGCAGATCGGAGCCAGGCAGGAAGGTTGGTGCCACTGCCATGAGCCAAGGACCGCCATAGCAAGGCACCCCTTGCCTGCCCAGCAGCAGCAGGAGGAAAAATTCCACACCACCACTCCGGCAGCTGCGGTGCGCAGAGGCTGCCTTGCCATGATGGTGTTTGGCTCTTGGCAGTGGCAGCAAGCTTCCCCACCCCACCCCACTCTGCCCTGCCATGCTGGGTCTCGCCCACTGGGCTGCAAAGGCCCTGTGGGAGAGGGCAGAAGGGCAGGGAGCCCAAGCCCTCAGTGGGCAGCCCACATTCACCCCTCGCAAGGGCTCTGCTTCAGCTGTGCTGCTCGCAGGGAAGGGGAAGCAGGGCTCCATGCTCCACTCTGCTGCAGCAGCTGCCACCTCCCACAGGTGGCAGCTGAGACTCAGCTACTGCTGCAGGCGGCAAGGGGGCCATGGACCTGGGTCCCTGGCCCCATAGCTCTGGCAGCTGGGGAGTAATAGATTTTGGGTTTTATAAATCAGAATTTGCAAAATTTTTCAAGTTAGAGAATTTGCAATTTTTAAACAGAGAAAACCAGGATCCCTGCTGATCACAGGCTGGAGTATTTCACTCAGTTACCCCTGTATGGAAACTAATAAATTATGTTTAACTAAAGCACCTTTTCCATAAGAGGCAACCAGTCACACTATGAAAAGCATGAAGAGTCAAAGAATCCATGACTTCCCTTGCTAGTCTACTCTGATGGCTAAAAATCAAATCTCATTGTTAAAAATGTTGATAGCTATTGCTTTTCATTTTACAGAAATATTACCTCTCTCCATTCTTGCTTGGCTTTTTCTAGAAGTGCGTGAACTGTGCCTCTATATACCTTTTCCAGGCATGTCTTCAGCCTCTCTTTATATTGGCAATTTAACTGCCCGGGGATACTGGAAGAGTTATCCTGCTGAGAACACTCTTTATTTGTGCTCTTGACTAGTTCTTCATGGATTTCTCCTAATAGGTGCTCAAGTTCAACTAGAATTTTTTCTTTATGTTGGTGAATTTCTTCTTGGAGTCGTTTGGTTTCCTGAGCTGTCCATTCTCGTTGCTTTTGGTCTAGACATGACTTTATTTCTGCTTCTTTTTGAGCAAGGAGTTCATTTTTCTGCTTTACAAGATCATCCTTGGCTGTTGCAAGTACCTCCTTGATCTTATTTCTGTGATCATCTAAGAATGAACGGTAGTCTCTCTCATTTTGTTCTTGTATTTGGAGGATTTCTTCTTGTTTTCCTTTGTTCCACTGAGCACGGGCCTTTGCTACCTCTGCTTTAACAGTTGCCGGGATCTCATCTTTCTTGATCTCCAGTTCCCTTCTGAGAGAAATTATCTTCTCTTCAAGCTCTTTGATTCTTGCTCCAGATTTCTCTGCATTTTCAAGTTCCTTCTTCCATTTCTCTTCAGCTGCTGAAAGAACTAATGATAGCTAAAGAATCCAAAATGTATTAAAAAAAGACAGCTTGTTAGCAAACTCTTAAAAGATTTCCATGTTAATTTGGCAGTTAGTTTGCCATGGCCACATAAAATTAGTGGTACGGCAATGAATGATAGCAAATAATATGTTAAGCAACTTGAAAATGCTGATGTGCACACTCAGTACTGTATTACTGATTAGTATTTGCAGAGTGTCTTTCCTCCCTAAAGAATATGATAGCTAACTCTGCTGCAAATGTAGAGATAAGGCATGAGAGAAGCATTGTATTAATCTGATCTGACCTCCTGTGTAACACATGCCCTAGACTATCAACATCTTTCTTGAACTGCTGACACCAAAACTAGATACAGTATGCAATAGTAGTCAGTTGCAATCACTAATCCACAGATATAAATGTCCCTACCCCTACTGAAGATTCCCCAGTTTACACATTCAAGGATCATATGAGCCCTCATGGCACACAACATTCTTTGTTTCCAGGTGTTTAACTTTATTTCGCCAGACTGCAATAGCTTGTCTTTGCCCAGCTAACAAGCAATTCAGCCCTCTGCATCAGTGCCCTAAACTTTTGGTCATATCCCACTCCTAAAGTTCACATCATCTGAAAATTAGGATTGTTTTCTTTCAAGTAATAAACATAAATTAAGAGACCAAGAAAAGAGGTATGCTGGCCCTCACCAGAAAGACAGTTTCTCAAGGATGACTTGCCATTTGCAATTATAGTTAACCAGTTTTAAATCCTTTTAATGGGTTCTGTGTTAATCACTGCAGTTTAATTGAAATGTTGTGTAGTACCAGGTCATATACTTTAAGGGAAGCCTAATTATATTGTTAGCCCCATTTAAAATTCTTATTCTGCAAAAATAAAGGCTCAAACTAAGACCATTGTTCTTCCCACTCAAAGAATTTTACAGATTAGTCTGGTCATTTTAACAGGGATTCCAATAACAAACTATTTGGCTCTGGCTTCCCAAACTGCATTTAGTACTTTAAAATTTTCTTTATTTTCACTTTAAGGAAGCAGGAATCTCACTGCAATTTCCAAACAGTTCACTAAGGCTGCAGTTCAGTAAAGCGCATATTCACTTAGCACACGCTGAAGTGCTTTAATAGATCAGAGCCCAAATTAGGACACTAAACTGTTTAGCATGCTTCCTCCCTGCCCCAACCAAAATAAGCCAGTAAATTCACTCAAATGCTCTCTGATACCTGTTTTGCTGCTTTGATTTCATGTTCCTTCTCCCACTTATCTCGTTCTACCTTTAAATTTGCTTTGTACTCTTCAAGTTCTGTTAATTCTTGCAGCCATTTGGCATGAGCTTGGGTTAAAGCTGTCTCTACCTATAAATGGGAAGAAGAGAAAGAAGAGATCATTTAAAAAAAAAAAAAAAAAAAAAAAAAAATCGCCAATGTTCGTGAAAATGCAACTACATTTTCCATGTGAAGAAGTACAAGACAACTGAAGTTCAGTTGGGATCAACAGAAAATAGCATGCCAGGGTTACAACCTCTTTCTTTTATTCCAATTTCCACAGCATTCTCCCTCTCCAGATTTACCAAAACAGGAAGCATTAGCTAATCAAAAATACATCAAGTGTTTTTGCTCAGTTCAGGAACAATCATAACCAACTCATTTCTTTAATTATGTTATCAGGCTTCACAAACAGGTTAACTCTAACGGCTAGAGAACCACTTTCCCCGTTGGATCTTTTACAAAGCTTTCAAAATATCATCAAAATCCATCAGTTTCTGTTAAAATACAAGCACATGAGCTAATGAACAAAGAGAGGGAAGTTTAAATTGTATATTTTGAGAATTTTGAAGGCAAACAACTTTTCAGGGGATTCAAGTTGCTCAAATAGAATTAAAATGATTTTATAATTGCTTTTTGTGCTTACCAAAGAAAGGGGCCATTTCTCAACCTTTTTTCATCTTGTGTGGCCATTTACTGACCAGTGAGTTAATAAGCAAGGATACTGCCATTCTAATTTGGTACCATTTGACACACTTTTGGGCATATTTTTAAGTGCAAAGGTCAGACAAACAGTGTTAAACGTCTATTACCTGGCTGGCCATTGTTTCACAATGTTTCCCCTCCAGTTTTGTTTCAAGTTCTTTCAAGACTTCTCCAGCCTCTCTCTCTTTAAGCACCTCCTGAAGTTCCATTTTTTGTTTCTCAAACAGGGACATCGCAAGAACAGTGGATGCTTCACATGCAGCATTTAATTGGTCAGTTTGGCTACCACAATCTTTGAGTTCAACTATAATTTTCTTAAGTTCCTCAAGTCTATGCTTCCACTCTCTTCCTATTTCTACAATGACTTGTTCTTTGATCTATATTAGGAGAAAGACTTTATTTTAAAATAAAGAAACCCAGAAATATCCAGGAACTACAATTAGTGCCGATTAAAAACAGTCTCCATTTCTGCGTACAATGCCAAGGGAGGAAGGGAGGGGAGGGTGGAGGAAAGGAGAGACACTCACACCCAGAAAATATGAAACAACCTTCATTTCCGAAGGATTCTTAAGTTTCTTGAGGGATTTCTTATCTCATTAACATGATGCCATTAGCATTAACATGGTCCCATTAGCATGCTCAAAATAAACTGAAGTGTGTGACCAAGTAGTGAAGGAAAGAGTCCTTATGCCACAGGTTTAACAGAAGGAGAGACAGTACCTGAAAAGTGTGCATGGCTACTAAACAAAAAGTAAAGGAAAAAGTGCAAGTATATTTATTGTGCTCTTTACATGCAAATTTAAAATTATTAAGGCTCAATTTTGAGACCTGCTGAGTCTCTGCAAAGCCCACTGACTACAGCTCAATACTTCTCTAAGGATTAAGCTTTGAGACAGGGCCTTGGCAACATTGATTTTATCCAAAGCTATGACAAAAGGTGCCATCCAAGGATATGCCACCCCCCCCCCCCCCCCACC